GCCCACCCCCCCCCCCCCCCCCTTTTCCCCCCCCCCAGCCATAACCTTGGGGAATGGAGAGGCACTTAATTCAGAAGATCCTTTGTCAGGTGAGAACAAATGTCAAAACTAAGATGGCTGTTCTGCTTAGAAACTTCTACTAGTTATTGATGTGTTAAAATAAAAATCTATTGTTTTGATTTTTTTAATATAATTCAGTGGTATCCTTTTCTAAGTAAAAGAAATGGTATGAAATGTATTCAAAATCCATGTGATAGAACGAATGATTCAGTCCCAAAGGTGAGCTCTTTAGCATATACTTTTATACTGAAATCTTAACAGGAGTGTCAATCTCCAATTAATCTTTAAGTGCTAGCTGTGTGATATTGGCAAAATATGCTGACTGATCTGGAGTGAAGATTGATTTTGCAGAATCAGGGTCAGCAATTAGAAGTTGCTGTTGGAATGGTTGACTACACTGTATGATTCTTCTTGGCACCATTTTTTTTATACGCCACAGTAAAGAGCTGTTCTAATGCAGAAGCTCCCAATGAAAATTTTTCTTCAGTGAATTATGAGAGATATGCCTGTGTCAACTGTTGTCCTGCAAACTAATGTAACTTCCCCAGTGTGCTAAGTATATAAATATATACTCTCTCTATATATAGTATAGTGTGTGTATATCTATATATGCTATATGCTTAGTGGTGTTTAGTGGCTTGACGTTGTAATACTTGTGATCCTGCAGGTTACTGAGGCTCAAAGTATCCCTGAAAATAAATTCTGTCTTTAGAAATACCTCAGCTGCTCAGTCTTGAGAACCAAGTGTTTGAAAATACTGCTTTCTGCTTTTGACTTATGCATTTGTGATTTGTGTGGGTAATTAATGGCCCACTGTGCTTATAGATAGTAGGTACTGAGTAAAGGAAAATGTTTCGCTTGTGGAATAGTCTGTCAAGGAAAACCATCTTGTTTTGAAGGTAAAAATCTATAAACCATAGGGAAAAGCCTGTGTTACAGGATGATGGGTGCGGAGCTGGGTGTGTTTATCACCTCTTATTTCTAGAATTCTGAGCCAATGGTTGGACATAAGTGATAAAAACATAACACACTTTGTTATTCTTTTCAGAACATGGGGGACTACCTTCAGTGACATCATCCGTCAGTGCCTCAGTAATTAAATCTCCGTCTGATCCTTCACATGCCTCTATTCCACCACCACCTCTTTTGCTTCCAGCAGCAACAACAAGGAGCAACAGCACATCAATGCCCAATAGCATCCCTAGCCTAGAAAATAAACCTCCACAGGCTATTGTTAAACCACAGATCCTGACCCACGTTATTGAAGGCTTTGTGATTCAGGAGGGGTTAGAGCCGTTCCCTGTAAGTGTGAAAGTTGCTGTGAATTTTTCACTACTAATTTTTGAAGCAAAGTATTTTTAAGGATGGTGTTATTTTTGGATAGTAGCTATTTAGAACTTGAATCATTTTTGAAATGTTGGTTTTGACCTTTCTCCCACTAATTGCTAACCTGTTTCTTACAGCATTTAGCATACTTGTATACTGTTTGTATTGTCTTGCGTATATAATTGGAATTCGTGATACTGTTTGGCTTGCCAGTATCACTGGTACTAAATGAAAACAGATACACAGTTGAGTAGATAGGCTGTATCCAGATACAACTACAGAGAGTGATTTTAGGCTACCATTTGCGATAACTTTGTTTTACATTCGTCTGTCTCCTAGATACCTCAATTGAAGTGATACTTTAATTTAAATCTTAATTTAAATCTGAGATGAGTCTGTGTTGAAATTCTAAAGTGTTAAAAATTTGTTGCTTAAAGCACTGGCACACCTCTTACTGAGTTTGATGTGATTAGTACTGTGTCTGGTAAGAATTCCTGTTGAAAATTTTAAATCCACAAATGGACAGTTTAAACCCTTTGAGCCTGCCTTATTAACTAATTTAATGAGACTCTCATTTTCCCATTCCTTTGTATCACTAGATATAATGTGTTTCTTCCTGTATTAAACATAATTGCAAACTTTGCAGAGCAGGAGTGAGTCTTTGTGTTTGCTTGAGAAATAGTATTTAGAGCTTTGGCACTATATAATAATGATTAATCGATACGGAATAGAACTGTGATATGTCTCAGTTACAACTGCAAACTCACAAATACTATTTTGAATTATTGATTGCTCAGTTAATCAATGTTGCTTTGCTTTTATTGCAATAGGTAAGTCGTTCATCTTTGCTGGTAGAACAGCCTGCAGAAAAAAGATTGCTAGTGGAGGGTCAAATCATGAGTGTTGTGTGTGTTGAATCAGACTTGCAGAATACAAAACATGCAGACAACTCATCGGACACAGAGATAGAGGATATGATTGCAGAAGGTTTGTAGCTTTTGTTTAAATATCCTTTTTATTTTTTCCTTCAGTTCTGTATGTATTACAGATTCCCATCCTGTCTGTACTTCTGGAATCTTTCTCCAGTCTTTACACTATCTGTAATAGAAACTATTTTCAAATGTTTTTTACTAGCTTCGCATCATAACAGCAGTTGCTGTAGATGCACACAAATGTCAAGAAACTATGCACTTGTCCTGCTTAGAATACAGCGGTCTCTGGCACAGCTCAGGAACTAAATTGAGTTCCCCATGCAGTACTGGACATAATCATCATCACAGATTTTTTAGAACTCGGCAGTGAACTATTTTGGATGTATTACAACACTGTTACTGTTCAAGCTCTAATGTAGGTAGCCTCATGAGTGTTATGAAATGGAAATTAAACCATGACCTGGCCCAGAAAAGCCAAGTTATTCTTTAACTCACATTTTTGTATAAATTCATCCAAGATCTGAAAGTTCAAAATTTTTCAGCCACTTCTGGATTTTCTCCTCCACAGCTTGAGCAATTGCAGAGGAGCTGTTTTTGGTGATCTGTTTAAATTTGTCTTAATGCCAACTCTTAGTTTCATTCTCCTAAAATAGTTCTTTTGCCTCTTTCATATCAAAACTGTAGTGAGCAGAGTAAGAGGCGGCAAATACAGAGCCTGCTGCTGCCACAGGTCTGCATCGGGGAAGTGGTTGGAAAAAGTCAAGACACGTGTCCTGAGCAGTAGCAAGCATCACCATAGCTGTGCTTCAACTACTTTCCACTCCAGGCATTGTAAATTGTCACTTAATTAAAACAGTTTATCCCCCAGTCTTTTCTCAGGGGAACTTTCAAGGTAGCAACAGCAGTGGCAGTTTTAGTTACTGTGTTTTCTGCCTTGGTGAATGGTACTGAAGTGCAGTAGGGAAGTTTGCTGCATCCATTGTGTATCTCAGCAAACAAATTAGCTCAAAATTCGTTTTTTTTAGATTATTAGATTCGGATACATTCTTTTTTACCACAGTGATTTATATCCATTACCATTTATGAATGTATTGGGTCAGACCCAAGTCAGGGATTGCAGACAAGCTAAAAAGCTTGCTTTAGAAAGCATTCTGAATTCAAGAAGAGTATTTGTTGGTAGTGAAGTCAAGTAAACATGGTTGGAATTTCTGCTTAAGGCTGATTTACTGCTCAGGCAATATGTATCTCTGCTTGAAATTAAGAGCATATTTTTACTTGGAGCACTGATTTTTTTAGTAGGAGCTGGTTTAGCTTGGAAGCACATCACTGAAAGGAAATACTGGTGGGTTGCAGTCCTGCTACATGTTGATACAACTTCTGTGCAAAGAAGTCAGAAACTGTGGAAACAGTGCCTGAAAATGAAACATAAAACAGGATTTCCTAAATTATGCCTGATTATATGATTGCATTTACTAGTGTATCTCAGTATAGTCCAGAGCCCTTCTTCATTTTGCAGTAACTGCCTAGTTTAGGCAGTGGCAGATATTTGCAATGCTTTGCTTTGTAACCGTAACTTTCTTTTGATTATGTTGTAGTTAAGTTGTCTACATAGAAAGATGAAGAAACAGTTTTCACAGAATCTATTTTTGTAACTGCCTAGTTTAGGCAGTGGCAGATATTTGCAATGCGTTGCTTTGTAACCGTAACTTTCTTTTGATTATGTTGTAGTTAAGTTGTCTACATAGAAAGATGTTTTCACAGAGTCTATTTTTTGAATGTATTACACAATATTCTACTGTAAAATAATTTGAGGCCCATACCTTATTCTTCACAAACTTTCACATAGGCATGGCAGGCTAAATTTTAGAAGGCAAGCATCTGGCATACTAATAGTGGAGGGCTGCAGTGTGGCTGGAAGTTCTCTAAACCTTTATTTCATTTAATTTAAAACTGCTGTTATTTTTTTGGTGTCATCTCCCAATGAGGGCTTCCATGTAACCAGCTCTTTGAGAGGGAAGTCCAGTGACATGAAAGCATCAAGCACAAGAGGCTTTAAAAAAAAGTCATCTGGCAAATTGTATGACTTGTTTGACATTTTTTGGTTATTTTACAGCTCAATGGAGTTATACTACTTTTCTACAGACAAAATGAGACTTGTAAATCTCTTAGCTCATGGCTGTGCTTAGTACATTCGATTAAATAAACTTGCTTTCTTGATCAAGAGGGCAGTTTTTTAATACCTTGTTTCACCCAATATATTTCAAACCAGAAAAACTTTTTGCCATCTGGTGTATCTTCTAGAATATTTGAAGCTCTGTTTGCAATAGTTATTTTGCCCTTAATTTGTTACAGTAAACCTTAATTCCATTTTCTTTTCAATAGCATTCCCTATGAACTTTTCAGTATTAACACTATGTTGCTGTTTTGATTTCAGACAGTTTGTCTGTTGTTCTATGGAATTATGCAAACATTCATGTTTTTCGTTTTAGTTATTGTTCCTGACAGCTGGTGTTAGATTTATGTACATAATTTGCACACTCATTAGATGAGCTAGTAGGAAACATCCAGCATTGAGACACATCCACATATGCAGAAGTTGAGCAAAGGAGATTTTTTAATATTAAACCAGGATATGATTGCATTTATGGTAGAAACACCTAATATGCAAAAAAAAAAAAGGCTCTTAGCATCAATTTTTGCTTCACTCTATTGTCACTTTTTTCCACATAGCATGACCTGGATTGGGAGTGAGATTTCGTTTTTGTTTGTGAGAATGAGTGATTTATTTGAAGGATGCATCTCTGGTATTTAACTTCAGTTACAGGGTGGGTCAGATTTGGTACGTTTCTAGTTTCCAACTTACGTGATACCAGCTTACTAAGTTGGAGACGTACAACATGGTAATTTTCAGTCTGACACTGCTGAAGGATATGTTGACTTTAGTTATGTCTTTGAGTCCTGATACATCAGATATGTTACTCAAATACCCTTTTCAGTATTTTCAGCTCTTTGCTGCACTAGTGCTTTTGTGTTACCTTCTCAGTACAATAGTTAGCATTAGCAAACAGTTCAGTGAGTTAACATTGCTGTAACAGACTTTTACAAATTCATAGTTAAAATCTTTCAGTTAAACTCTGATACTTGCCTTTAGCTGGCATCAGAGTTTAACAAAGAGTTTAGAACAAAAAGCTAGTTTGCAATTTTTAAAAGTACAGACATGGAAGGTGAATAGCAAGAGCCAAAGTATATGAAACAGTGACTCGGGTAAATTAGAAATGTGGGAGAAATGTATGTTTGTTTAGTCCTCTGAATTTCTGAGCAGTGTATTTTGACCGTGTTTGCAGCCTCGTGGATTGCAGTTCTTCTAACAAAGAGTTTAGAACAAAAAGCTAGCTTTAAATTTTTAAAAGTACAGACACGGAAGGTGAATAGCAAGAGCCAAAGTATATGAAACAGTGACTCGGGTAAATTAGAAATGTGGGAGAAATGTATGTTTGTTTAGTCCTCTGAATTTCTGAGCAGTGTATTTTGACCGTGTTTGCAGCCACGTGGATTGCAGTTCTTCCGCTTGACCTGAATGACTGCAAAATGTTACATGTCAGTTTGTGCCAGTTTTACTCCTTCCCTCCTTACGATGTATTTCACAGATGGTGCATGGGGATAAGGATTTTTTTTCCATACCAGAAGTCAAGTTGGCTTGCCAATATGGTGGCATTATTCTAAACTACGTACAAACCATGCTGTAGCATAGACAATTCCGTGTGTGTGACGTGTATGCTGCCTTGTTGCCTTGTACTACCTTTTTTGGGGCTTTTCTACTTTTTATTTCACTGATACTTATCTCAGTGGGTGTTTGAGTTCACAAAGAGCCGGAAAACTGCCTCCTCATCTCACCACCAACAGAAAAATATTCTGTAACAGTAGATTGTAAATCAGTAGATGCTATAATTCTTTTTTTCTTATATGCAGCTTATCTTTTTTTATATAAGATTCAATGTTTTACTTGCTTTCACAAGTCCCTTTGGTTGTAGCAGTTGCTTATTCAAAGTACGTAATTTAAAAGGTTGATGCATTGTGTCATTACAGGAGAGCTTGAATTTAGTCCATAGAATGCCCTGTTCTCTTAATGAACTCTTCATAAGCAATAATTCATGAGGACTGTAACACTTGTTTTTAATTGTTCGCCACGTTTGAGGGCATACTTGGTTATGGATGGCTTGAAATTTAACAGAAAAGCTGATTAAGTTCATTGCATGACTTAATTGAAGGTTCAGTAAAGTTCAGTTTGCTCGAGATCTTTTCTATAGAGGATGAAATCTATGACTTGCTTAGCTTTGCATAGTTTTCTGTTAATCGAAATATTTAATTAAATGTGTTGAATATTTGAAAATCTTCCGCCTGCCTTCTTGAGATGAGAAATTTGGACGTAATTTTGTCATTGAAACTGATTTCTTTATGCCTCACTGCTTTCTTTAGAGGGACTGGATGAAATTGAAAATGATCTTCTGAAGTGTGAATTTTGTGGAAAAATGGGATATTCTAATAAGTTTCTGCGGTCAAAAAGATTTTGCTCCACATCCTGTGCTAAAAGGTATTCTGTCTAGTTATTGCTTATCACTATCTGGTTAATAACAATAGCACCCAAATAGTATCTGATGTTGAAAAATAAAGAAACAGTAAAACGTGGCTGCCTTCTACCCAAATTATAATGTATTTCAAGAAGATACACAAAAGGAATTACAGTAAAATTGTGGACCTCTTTCCAGAGGGTGCTGCGAGTGTTGTTGGGCTTATGGGAAGGTGAATGGGTATCACGGAAGAGAAATCCGTTACTGAGTGTTTGGAAATTGGTGCAGAGGTTCATGGGCCACAAATCATTATATATTTATCATATTCCTATTGTCCCCTTAATGTTGGGCAATGTCAGAGAAAGAATGCTGGGCTAGCGGGGCTTTCTTAAAGTTGTGTGTGATGCTAGGGAAAAAAACCTACTGTATTTATCTTGGCATAATTGAAATGCTGCGTAGACAAAAGACATTCTAAAATATTTTTAGTAACAGTGTAAAAATTCTTTATTTGCATAGAGTAAAATAGAAATATTCATAAACATAAATAACTTAGTGTTTTCTAAAGCTTCTCCTTTCTTGAAAATAATAAGTGATGCCATTTACTTGTACATGGTTGGCAGAGGAAAACGGCTGGTTTCTGTTCCTCTGAGTTTAGTATGCCGCTTTAATTTTGTTCTAGTGAAGAGAAGAAGAATTTGTAATCAACATCTGAATGTAAAACCTTCCATCATTACAGCTGGAAAATTGATGTTTAATCGCAGATGTTTTAGAAATGGGGAATAGTTCTTTTTTTGCATCAGTGTGCCTAGAGACCTCCTTTCTCTTAATGTCTGTTACTTTTTTAATCCCCCATGTGAGACACTCCTATTTTAAGTAGTGGGATTGTATATTTTGGATTTGGTACTTGTTGGGACGCTACTAGCAAAATAATGCTAAGGAGGGATTTGGCCCCTTAATTTTAAGATGGGATTTTTTGCCTTCATCCTCCCTTGACTGGGTATCAGCTAGGTAGAGAAAATGGAAGCAAAAGGCACAATGTGACTTCAGGCTTTTAGTGGACATCTTGGAGAAGCGGGATTGGACTATTTGATAAAATGCAAAGTTATTTTTGTTGTGGAAAATTTTAAAGAATGGGAAGGATGGACATCTTCCAGGGATGATCTGGATGTACTTGATCTTGCATCAAGACAAGGGAATTGAGTAAATGGCCTTTGAAGTACCTTTCTCTTGGATTTCTGTGACAGCTGTTGCTGACTTTAATTAGGCAGCATTTCTACAACACTGTAATTTTATGGTTAATTGGTTGAATTCAGTCCAAAAAACTATTAGTGCATTATTGAATATATCTTACTTCTTTAGGCACAGCCTTAGTTGCACTAAGAAATTTGGGCTGTTTACATCAGACAAGACCAGTCGTTGGAATCGGAAATCAGATAGCCAAAGTCTTGGGCGACGCGGGCGTCGACCGAGTGGCCCTGATGGGGCGTCACGAGATCATTTTCTTAGACAGGTCTGTGGAATATTTGCTTAAAACTATGGCATTGTTTTGGGAATTACAAATAAAATATAATACTGTAGTGTATTTGTACTGCGTTTTCCAGCTTCCAATTACTTATCCATCTGCAGAAGAAGATACGGCTTCTCATGAAGATGCTGTTCCAACTGCCATGACCACCCGTCTGCGAAGACAGAGTGAAAGAGAGAGAGAACGTGAACTTAGGGAACTAAGAATTAGGAAAATGCCAGAGAGCATTGACTTGCTACCAGTGGTGCAAGCTGACCCATCAGTATGGACTGTTGATGAAGTTTGGGCCTTTATACATTCTTTGCCTGGTATGTAATGTGCATAACTTGTTCCCTTTTTTCTTTTAACAGTAAAGTTCCTTGCTTTTTAGCAGCAGTGTGTTGAGGAGGTGGTGTGGTAACAGCACTAGCGTACTTGTTGGTGATAGAAATTGGAATGTGATTTGTTTCCTCTTGCTTATTCCTTCAGCTCAAATCCCATGTTGATAGAACTAGTCCCACTTCTGCTGTTGCATCCCAGCTGATGGAGATTAGAGCTGTTCCTCCCTTCAGTCTGACTTCTCTCAAGAGGTCAGTAGAGAGATCAGACACGCTTCTTCCCTTTTACACTTCTTTCTTCTCTTCCCTCCTTACTTGCTGCTTGTTCAGTAGAAAAGGCAAGAAGAGAGTTATTTCCCTTTATACAACTGAAAAATTTGAACGAATTGCCCTGATACAAGCCATTAAAAAAGAATAAGGAAGTTTCTTTTATAAAGCTAAACTTTGTTTTGCATAGCTTTGCTCAGTAACTGAAATGTAGGGAACTTCTGCGTATAGACTCTGCATACTGGTAGGCACGGTCTGTTCTCAGAAAAAATAATCTTGTCTCTCCTTATTTACAAACCTTTTCTTCAGCTCAGTATTCATAGTTACCTTTATATCATCTTCAGGTTATTTGTTGTTTATTTATCATTTTCTAACTATCATAAGCTTTAAAGTTTCACTCCCCACTCTTTCCCAAGGATGCCATTCTATCTGATCGGATACTGTAATCCTTCCAGATAACAAGGCAGGTCTCCATGCTAGCAGTCATACAAGAATTTTTGTTGCTTACACATGTAACTTGTATGTCAAAATGTTGAAACCCAAGTTTAGTTTGGTTTTTCTACTTTTTCTGGAATGCTAAACCGTTTTTCTGTGTATTCCATTAGGCTAATAACCCATAAGGAATGTGTCTTCATTGCGAAGTCATATGCATGGGTTATGACAGTTAATCTTTTATAAAGCAGGTCAGGCAAAGAATTGAATAAAGGATGTCTTAAATCAGCAAAAGTAATCCTTGATGTACCTTTTCTGATAGATTATAAACTGCAATTAAGTTATGTTATCTGCTTCTGGGAGCCTGCAGCGATGTCTGTAAAAACAAGCAAAGCTCCTAGGTTTGAGACATGGTCATTCATGTTTCTGTACTTCAGCTGTGTTACTGGAATATAACTATATCGCTGCTGCTTTGAGTTACTATTTTTATAGATTTGAGGCTCTAGTTATTGAATTAACTTCCTGATCCTAGGTTCTGCAAAAGAATAAATGATAGTTCATGTCCTAGAAAACTTAAAGTACCACATAAACAAAATTCACTTGCAAGTATGAAAACAAAAATATTATTATTAAAATGTGGTTTCTGGTTTGAAACCATTACTTTTAGAATATTTCACCAGCTGCTCGATCTGGAGGGGTTTTTGTGTTCTATAAACAAGGTAATCTTTGATTTTAAACTTTATATTTCTCTGTATTTAATGAAAATTTATTATAGTGACTCATTCCCATCTGTATTAAGGCCTAGTTTCTCAAATACTTTTTTTTAAAAAAGTTCAATTGGTATTTAAAATTCACAACTTGCCAGAATTTTTGTTACATAGCTACATTCATGTTTTCTGGCAATTTTGGAGTTTATTCTGTTCAATATATTCCCAAGCCACTCTCTGAAAAAATATTTTTTCATATGCTGTCAGAGTTGAATAATAGAAGAAACAATATAATTGACTTTCATTATGCTGTTTTGCAGTATATACTTGGTGCAGTCCATGCAGACCATCTGCCATGTTGTAGGAGACGGTGATTTGTCAGCTTTTCATAAACATTAGGGACATCTGTTTTGATTTACAGCTTTCTGCATGGAGTCTGTAGCTGAGATCTAACTGTGGAGTTGAGTTTTGTCAGGCTTTTCCTGAATTCCTCTGGAGTATTTTGGAGAAGGGAAGATTGTAGGACGTGGCTACTGTTACTTCTTCTGAGGCAAAGAGACAACAACAGTTTAAGCTCCAGCAGAGTTGTTCCTCCTTTCTTTCTTCAGTTGCAAGGTTAATGTTCTTTCACCCTCTTCCCATCCTTTTTTTTAAGCTAAATTACTGCACAACAACCAATTGCAAAAGTGCTTAAGAATACCCACATGTGCTTCGATGAGGGAACTGAAGTACATTCAACTTTCATCCTTTGCTTCTACAAAATGACTTTGATAAAAGGTATTTTAGGAGAAGTTTCGTGGAAATGCTTCTTGTCCTGCTTCAAGAAAAAAGCCTGCAACAACCACCAGTTATCTGTTTTAATAGGACCACTTTTGTTCCTAAATGTAAAAACTTCTCTTGATCTCTCAGATTCTTTGTAAATGCTATGGTCTGACAGTCATCATGTTCAGGTCTCAAGTCAGACACAGTGATACCTCCCACAGAAATACTTACTTAGTGCTTGACTTACAGATGTTTTCTCTGGTGTCTACACGTAAATAAGAACCTTTATGATAGAGCTGTTAAATCCTCCTGAGAATGGTCAGTTGTCTTAAGGTTTTTCTTCACGTTACTGGCAGCATTATCTCCACTTGGTCGCTGGAATTGGCAACGCTGTTTCAGGAGCTCTCTGACAACTCTGGGTTCCTGAAGAATTCTGGAGCTTACTGATTGTGGTATACTTTGTAGCTGGGCTGCACTAGTGCATCACTGTACCAGAAATATTAAAAGTAAATGTTACAGAATACGTGCGAGCAGTAAAACATTTTAATAGCTTTATATTGGCTATATAAATACTGTTCATGACAAACTAGTGTTTTGTTTGGTTTTTTTTTCTCCAAAAGATACCACTGTAATTTCTTCTTACAATAAATAATGCCCAAGAACTGGGCGTTTATCATATATTAAAGCTGCATTGTTTTAAATGCTATGGAAAATAGTCCTTAGTTCTGATTAAAAGTTAGCCAACTGCTACAGAGTAACTGTTTTGGGTTTGGGATTGTAGTTTACACAGTTGTAACCTAAACTGCAGAGGTTTAGAAGTGTAGCTATAGGATACAGTAAAATTCCATAATAAGAGCTTTCTCTTTTCAAATTATCTTAATTTTTCCCTTTCCTTAATAAGGTGGCACCTAATTGTTGCATGAGGTCAGTTTAACAAATCATTAAGGAAAAAAAATGGTGCTGTATTCTTTGTGAAAAGCTAACCTTTTCCAACCTTGAATGTTATGACTACTACATAGTAATAATCCAAATGAATTAATACTTGCTTCCACGTTTCCTTTCTATTTGTCTCTTACTCATTTGTAAATCCACCAGGAAATTAGACTATCTATTCTTTATAGAATTTAAATCTGAACACACAAGAGGACATGAAATTAGTCAATTGCTCTCATCTGCAGGGGGGAAGTTGTTCTACACAGTATTTTCATATCTCTGTAATAGTATACTTTTCGAACAGGGGAAAATATAAAAATGCCAAAAAATAGGCTTAACTGAGGACTAATTGAAAGGAGGAACGGAAGGTAGAGCACAAATTAAAATGTGTCTGAAAGGCTCTGAGGCAGATGGAGAGACCACTGGATTGAGAACATAAAAATACAAAAAACATTAAAAACATGGCTTTGGGGAAAGAAGCTTCAAATAAACAACTGACAATGAGTGCTCTTATTGACATTGTTAGAAGACATTACTCTGTATAACAGAGCTGCCATACAGCCAGGCATAACTGACTGTTTCTGCTTAACAGATGTCCAGAACATCTTTTGAGGAACCTTTTGTTTCCACAGTGTTCTTCAGTGGAAAAGGGCCTGCAGTTACGTGGGACAGTCTAACACCCTTTTCCTTATGTTGTAGGCCTCAGCAACCTGAGACTGTGTTATTTCATGTTCAGAAAAAGAGTTTATCATTTAAAAAGAAAAAAATCCAACTAGTTTAAAGTTGCACTTGTGAAGTGACTTACTGCTGTGCATAGAATGTTCACTCAGGTAACTGATAAGTGTCTTTATGACAGTTATGCTAAAGCCCATAAATCAAAATTCTATTTACTTAACCCAGTGGTGGTAACATACTGATGGAATTAACACCTTTTGGAAATTATAACTATGTGAATTTTGTCAGTGAGTTGTACATAGCAGTAGAATATGCATATCTTTTTATTGCTGGAAAGAACCCGCTTGAATTATGCTCTTACTTAGTTACTATTTCAGTGGTATTTTGACAGTCTCTTCCAATTGTGAGATCATGGTGATTGTTCCTCTTAATGAAATGAGAAAGCTGTCTTTGCTAGGACTTGAAATTTCCGATGAGCAATTCTCCAATAATTACAGTGTAATTGGAGGCTGTTGTAAAAATTACTTTCAGACTGTCTCGGCAGTTACCATCGTAATATTGAACTCTTGCATGTACCTTAGCTTCTACAAGCTAAAGGGATGAGCATTGGAAATTGTGTAGCTGAAAAGCTCTAGCGTGGACAGAGTCATAGCATCTAAGAATGCACATTTCTAACTCAGTAATTCTTTTTTTGTGTTGCCTCGTAGGTTGTCAGGATATTGCGGACGAATTTAGAGCACAAGAAATTGATGGACAAGCTCTCCTGTTATTGAAGGAGGATCACCTTATGAGTGCAATGAATATTAAGCTTGGACCTGCATTGAAAATCTGTGCACGTATCAATTCATTGAAAGAATCCTAGGGGGTGAACATGACTGTTTAAACAACAGTTTCTCAGTGACAGAACCGACAGTAATATGCCAACATCTTCACTGTGGCATGAGTGTTACTGTGATGTTTTGTTAAATATATGGGGTTTTTCCCCACATAAAGACTTAAAAACGTTCCTTTGATTATACCAGGTAGTCCTCTCTAGTTTCCAATTTCATGGTAAAGCCTGAGTAATACTTTGAGTTGAAGTGGGAGTTCATGAAAAAACATGAAGTGAAATATGATGTGATAGGTTTAATGTTCCCCAAGATGTATTTTATCTTACGAGTTTAAGATTGATACCCCAGCACCCACCCCAATCTAAACACCATTTAAATTGTGTTGCTGTATTCTGAAAGATTTTTCCCACATACAGCAGTTTTTGGACTGAAATAACAGAAGTGTCCACAGACCATGTGGAAGCACTAATAACAGTAAAATGCTATGCATTTAGTTGTGCTCTCCGAGTTTCTTTTAGTCTCGAGCAAATTGTTTGTAAGGGGTAGGTTGGCAGCCGGTTTTCCTTGTGTAGGCTTACCCTCATCTCTGCCACTGTAGTATTTTCTTGAAGTCTGAAAATACTATAAACCATGTAGACATCGCATCAAAATCCTCATCAGGCTACTGAAATGCAATGGCATGACACTCTTGCCAGAGGTAACTGAAGCACATGTTACTTTACTCTTCGTATGCTGCTATGCACTAAGAGGGCATTAAGTTGTTAGGTTTGTAGTTTTGCATGCTGCTACTTAAACTAGACCAGCAGTTCTCAAATGAGGGTTCAGAGTGGATCCTGAGAAGGTGTGAGAACACTTGGGGTTCAGGTTCCCAAATGTGGAGGTGTGTGGGGCTGAAAACTGCAGCCAGAACTAGCTCGCATTGAGACAAGTGTACTTCAAAGACTGGAGGTGGCGAAGGGATAGCATAGCTTAGATGATTTTTTTCTTGATACCTCTTCTAACTTGTCTTTTCCTGTAGTTCGTTCCCATTGCTGCACTGGAAGCTTCCAAGCACCTTTTATTTGTCTGCTGGCCAGCGTGAGCTGGGCTTGTACTAGTCTGAGGAAGGAGCATGGTGAGTTGCTCAGTGAGGTCCCTTCAGAGCTCAGTGTAGGAGCAACTGCTGCTGCAGTGAGGGAGCCTGGAGCTGCAGGTCGGCAGGAGGAGTGCCACTGCTTGGCAACTCTGGGAGAAATTTCTAGAGATTCTGCTTTGTCCCTCTGGCAGGAGATTTTGACTTGGCTGCTGCAGAGACAGATGGTGGGATTTTGGTGTTTCCCTCCATCTTCCCTCTCTCACGCTGTATGCGGAACAAATACGTGTTTCCCCAGGTACTGACGCTCTCAGAAGCTGCTTGGGCTCCGAGGCAGCAGCGCCTTCTCGGCCTTTGCTTCCCCATCACCTGGGTACGGATGTTCATGGATGTGTACCTTCTGTTCCCTCCCTTTTGCAGTTCCACTCCCCTCATGTACAGACCTAGATCCCTTTGGGAAAGAAGAGCATGTGTGCTGATACGAGTCGTTGTGTATATTTGAATTAAATATGTGTATGTATCTGCAAATAATGTATTTTGTATTTTATGCAAATTAATGCATAATATATCATTGTGTAGGGAGACATTCAGGGGGGCTGTAAAGTATTCCTGAAAAGAAGAGGAACTGATCTAAAGTTTGAGAACTGCTGACCTAGATCAAAAGGAGTCCATGCACATACACTGGCTGAAAGGAAGGTTTATGACAGGTAGATTAATATGTATATTATTTAACTGATGACTTTAAAGAGTAAATTGGGATTACAGAAAAATCTGTGCTTCATTTTCCTTTAATTAGACTATTGCTTTGTGTCTACTAACAGACTCTCTACCATTATCTTCCAGAGATCAACATTAGAATTACTGTTTTTAATTACAACTGTTTGAGCTTACTAATAGTAGATGTTTTTAATATTTTTATTAACCTCTGACGCTCCAAGTTAGGACAACCCATTGTTGTTACGTGCTAGTATGTGGCGCGAGTCCTTCTCCAAATGGCACCAAAGGCTTTAGAGAACTAATTGACGTCTGGGGTAATTTTGGAGGGAAGTTGCTAAGCACTTTCTAATTTGTTTTTTTCTGTCTTTAGTTACTGTTGTAAAATAAACTTCTTAGTTGAAGGTTCAACGTTTGGCAATGTTCATTTGAAAGATATTCAAATGATGGAGACAGTAGGTTCCCGTTTGTAGCATTTCTGTAAGATACACCATGTAGCATATCTGTAACATATGTTTTAAAGGATATGTTCTGTTTTGATGAGCTAATTGAAGACTAAAGATATCTTAGATATTTATCCTTTGGCTTTTGTCTTAAAGTTTTATTATTTTTATACGAAAATTTCACTGGCTAATTTTTAATCTGTCTTCTGATTGTACTGTTCTTTGGCAATGTAAAAAGTAGATATACGTAAATGTGATTTGATAATGGCTTAAGGCACATTTGAAGATGTGGACTTAGGAGTCTTATTTAGACCTGCAGTTAATCACAGTGTTGTTACATGCATGAGAATTTCACGGCTGTTTTAATTTTGCTTTATTAGACAGCTTTCAGGAGACCTTCTACAGCTAGTGTTTATATATGACTCTCGGAGATAATCACTGACAGATGCCAGGACCTCAGAGGAGACCTGATTAATGCACATCTGTTCTGGTTCTTCTGGTACACTACATTTTCTGTGGTTTTGGGAGAGCCACAGATAGTGAGTTATACTTTAAATATTCATGAATGCAGCAACTAAGAACGTGGGCCTTATGCATATTGAGAGTTGTTGGTTTTTTTGATTCTCCTTCACTGATTTTTGGCATAAAGCAGACACAGCTATACTAACCTATGCTGATCGAAATGCACATGCATTGGAGTGTTTGCCAGTATAGCTGTGTCAATAAAATCAGTTTAAAAAAAAAAAATCACACCTGTACTTAAAGTGCGCTGGAAAACTTCCAAGTGCAACTGAAGTCTACTTCAGAAGCTTTTGAATTTACTCAAAAAAGCAATATAATAATTAGAGTAGTATTTCTCCGGAACCATTTTGCATACCAATTGCTTGTTTCTGTTCAGATCGGTGAGGTTTTCCCAGGCTTGAACTACCATTTCCCATGGCTTTCCCCACAAATGAAGCTAGACCCTCTTGCAAAAGAGTAAGTATTGCAAGTTTTAATTGACTATTTTTTAACACTTACTCCCACTGGATGTGTCTACAAGAAATCCTTTTCATTAGCTTTATTTCCTGGGGTTTTGTTTTCTGTATTCAGACAGCTGCTGTTGTGGGCTACATCTCACATATTTCAATTTTCCAATATTTTCAATATTTCAGTTCCTATAGAAAGGAATACAGGATGCTGTAGGATCTTAGTTCAAAAGGGAGATAATGTTGGATGGCTTTTTCCCTTCCTTTTTCTCCACTAGTCTCCATCCTACCCTACTCTTTAATGCAAACTGTAGCCTTAGCTCAGGGAAAAACCCTTTTGCAGAGCACTGGGCTGAATGTGACTGTCAAGATTTCTTCCAATAGAATTATAACTATTATACTTGTCTCAGCTTCAGAGTTTATGTGAGGTTTTAAAGAAATCCACCTGACTGGTCAAAATGGGTATGCAGACTCCTCTGATTAATCTGGCTCCTATCACTGAGGAAGCCTGCTTTGCAGCAGAAACAGAACTCCGGCAAGGAAGCTCGGCCACTTCACTGACTAAAAGTGCTCTGGGAGCTCTCGGCTGCTCCTTGTTCAAAAACAAGTGTTGCCAATGAATTGCTAACTTCTCCCAGCCAACCTATGTTGCCTCACATTTGGCACATTCGTAAGACTTGATCACCTTGCTTATATAAGGAATAAAAAATAACCATCTTGTCAAGTTAAACTGCCAGTTGTCTTGGATCACCAGAGAATGTTTGAAGAGTTTTTAAACAGACTGCATTGTAAATCCATTCTTTACCCATTAATCCATCATTTCTCTTTGCAGAAATGAAGTTCTTCATGGAGGGTAAAACCTTTGCTAGATTTGTGTCAATGAGATATCTTGATTAGAAGGTTTATGTCCTGCAAGCATTCATTTCCTCATTTCTTTCCTGTGACAGCAGCTTTTTGCCCCCCCCCAACTTCTTTTGGACAAATCCCAAGTGGGAATCCAGCCTTTTGGATAGAACTGATGGAGTCTGTCATAACTGCACATGTGGCAGCAAGAGGAAAGGAATGGGATAAAAACAAGTATTAGATTTACAATAGCTTTTGCATCACTTTTTTATCTTCATCTTAGCTGTAAGGAAATGTTCAGGTATAAAACCATATCTTAGGTGTAGTTTGAATGGAAGTTCATGTAGTGAGACTTTGGGTGTAGTGTGTCACTGCCCAGCATACCCATTCAAATGCCTATTTCAGATGACTGTTCTCATTTTAATATCACAATATCAATGCAGAAACTTGCAGCTCAGTAACTTAAGAAATTTCTTACACATTGACAAATGTATAGCTCTGAGTGATCAAAGAATTCAGTGACAGCTGTATTGAGCCCTGGTTTTGCAAATAATTAGACATCCACATAATTTATAACATGAGTAGTTCTTCTGATTGTATCGAGACTATTCATATTAAAATTAAGCATGTGCATAAAAGCTTGCAGGGTTATTTTCTTACCAGTATTGCATAGAGATGTCCTCTTACCATATATTTAGATATATAGTTGTCACTCATTAACCAGACTTTTACTCATCCATTGTCCTAGGCTGCAGATAATGACTCTGCAAAAGAATCAATGTAGGATACTTTTTTTTAAAGTTCACCCAAATTAGTTGGATGGAGATGGAGAGAAACTAAAAAAGTATTTTGTTTTAAATATACTGTTTCTGTTGAATGCTGTGTGGGACAGGTATGAAGAGAGCTCTAAATGTGTAATTTCAATGTAAGGTGTTAATAATTTGCTTGTAGTGAATTAACTTTTAAGTCACTCTTGCTGAGCTGTAGTGAGC